TTAGGGTTTAGGGTTTGGGTTGAAGGTTTAGGTTGAGGGTTTAGGGTTTAGGGTTTTAGGGCTGTTAGGAGCCTGAGTCATTATAACCAGGGGGCTCGGGCTTATGTCCTAAGAAAACATGTAGAAAGACCAGTCTAGCCAAGTTCATGCATGCAGGGACGCCCCGCCCTAAACCCCAACCGGGAGAAGTTGCCGTCTGGGAGCTGCCACCCGAGGTACCGACCCGCCTCTGCGACCTCCACCCTAAAGCCCCTAGGGCTGATAACGAACATCCTCTAATGCAGTGCCTTGCATAAGTAAGGTTTAGGGTTTAGGGGTTTAGGGGTTTAGGGTTTAGGGGTTTAGGGTTTAGGGGTTTAGGGGTTTAGGGTTTAGGAGTGTAGGGGTTTAGGGTTTAGAGGTTTGGGGTTTAGGGGTTTAGGGTTTGGGAATGGGGCTTTGGGGGTCTCTTCTACTTACCCTCTGCCCTTACAGCCGCCACTTGCGACAAGGGAGCAGTCGCAGGGGTGGAGCCAGTAGTCGGCTGGCTCTGGCGTGGATGGGTCGTCCAGCACTAGGGCCGTCTGCCCCTCCTCCCCTTCCTCCTGGAAAGCTTGAGGCTTCAGGGTTTAGGGTTTAGGGATTAGGGTCTGGGGTCTAGGTTTAGAGTCTCGGGTTTAGGGTTTAGGGTTTAGGGTTTAGGGGTTTAGGGGTTTAGGGTTTAGAGTCTAGGGTTTTAGGGTTTAGGGTTTAGGGTTTAAGCGTTTAGGGTTTAGGGGATAGGGCTTAGGGCTTTGAAATGGCTGCTGACACTTCGGCCCGACCGCGTCTCAGCACCTCAACTGGGTATGAGGTGGAAGGATGCCGGCCGAAGGTTTAAAAAAGCCCACAGCATCCTTGAAACCTAAACCCTAAACCCTAAACCCTAAACCCTAACTGTACCTACTTCTGACCCCAGTTGAAGTACTTATGACCCCAACTACTACGTCCCCCCCATCCTTAAGCCCTCGCGTTTCGAAGAGTATCCTTCATCTCGATGAATGCCAACTCCTTCGTGGAGCACTGCCTCAGGGCCTGTTGGACGGAGCCGGCTTCAATGCAATCCCGCTTCGAGCCGCGAAGCTCATAGATGCCCAATGCCTGGGAAGGGCAAAACAAACTCGTAAGACGGAAAGCTCTTGATGTTGATGTTTCTAACCTCATCCTACTCTACTGGTTCGGCACAACGTTTGTCTTCTTCCCCACCACTCTGGAAGGCTCTCAGGAATTCGGTGGTGGCAATGCAAATAGACAGACTTTTTGGCTGACCTAAACCCTAAACCCTAAACCCTAAACCCTAAACCCTAATGACCTAACAGCCAAAACAGAGCCCAAACTACAGTGAGCACCTGAAGCCCTGAACCATAACCCCCCCCCCCCCAACGCCGCCCGAACCCTAAACCCCTGGCTTCGGCTTGTTTTTGTTAGTGTTTAGGGTTTAGGCTTGGTTTGGGCTTGGGGGTTTCGGATTTAATGTTTCGCTGATGTGAGCAAAGGAGCCTTGTCGACAAAGTCGTTGGGATTTGTATTGGCGAGGACCCACTGGCCATCCGTGCAACCATCGTCGCCCTGTTCTGGTTTACTGCGAGGAAAAGAAGGTTTAGGGGTTTGGGATTGAGGACGAAGAGTTTCGGATTAAGGATTTAGGATTCAATTGCTGATGCATCGAGGTTTCAAGACGGTGGGATTGCTCGGATTTTAAGAGTTTATGGGGGTTGAGGGTTGTCGATCATCCTGATTCCAGTGCAACTCGCGGGTAAACGCACTGTGCATCATAAGCGGAAGGGCATTACCCCAACCCTAAACCCTGAAGCCTTAAGAACCCACCTGCGCCAGGCGAAGGTACCGCATGTCTTCTGGCGTTGCATGCTGCCGAAGATAGACGATGCCACCCTTCGCGACGTCCTGTCCAAGAGGACAGTACAGCCCGCCGAGGTACCAGTCCTTGTTAGAGACGGTCATACCTTAGCCAAGCGATGCAAAGGGTTTAGGGTTTAGGGTTTAGGGTTTAGGGTTTAGGGTTTAGGGTTTAGGGTTTAGGGTTTAGGGTTTAGCCAACAGACCACTGCAGGAACGGCATCTTCCGCCACTTACCTCTTATGCCTGTGACAGGTTTCACAAGGCTTTGCAACGGTGCATGAGGGTTTCCTATAAGTTTCTCAGACAAGTCCACACCATCTGCATCTGGGAAGCAGGTCCCTTCGTTGGTGCAATTGGTGACCTTGGCGGTGACGGTCACCATCTCCCCATCCGAACGCGCATCAAACCTATCGCAGGCTCGGGGGTTTAGGGCGATCATTATTTTACGGGCTCAATCAGGGATCTTCGGCGTCAAGACCTAAGGTCCGTGGTTTCAAGGCTCAGGGTTTCAGGGGGTTCACTGCCCCAGGGATTCAACAGGTGCCCCCGAGATCCAGAGAAGGATGGACCAGGCAGCTTCTTGAAAACTTCGGCCTTTTTAGGGTTTAGGGTCTAGGGTTTAGGGTTTAGTGTTTCAGGGTTTACGGTTTAGGGTTTAGGGTCTAGGGTTTAGGGCTTAGGGCTAAAACTCTAAACACAGAAAGAAGCCTGAGGGGAAGGTAGGTTTTGGACTACGGATGACCCCACTTGAGGTACTTGCAACCCTACTTGCTATCCCCGGTCCGCTGAGCAGAGGCTAGGGGAGAGGCTGGCTCTTGGATGAAACGCAAACCGTAGTCGCAACACAAGCTCGCGAAAATGAAGAGTCACTAACTGTAAGAACCCACACGCCCTCCGAAGCCACTTCCAACCGGACCTACGGCGTGAAAACTGGGATTTCAGTCGATTGCTTCGGGGGTCTATTGATGTCTATTGTCTTAGGGCTTACGGTTGAGGGATAGGTCCTGACTTGTTGCTGGAATTGTTTCAACTACACCCAGTCCGGTCCAAAAGCATACTACATGTTGAAGAAGTTCCTACGTTACACGAGGGGAATGAAACTTTCCTTAAACGGACCCCGGACCCTAAACCCAAAATGCGCTTCCTCAAGCCCTCGTAACGCATGCCTCGACATCCCCTTCCCCTACCCCACCCAAAGAAAGCACAACGACGCGATCGGTGATCCCGATTTCTAGGGATCCGTTTGGGAATGTGGGGATAAGGGTTTAGGAATAGAGAACCGAACCGACATCAGAAAGTGCTCCGGAAACCAGCTGAAGGTTTAGGGTTTTTATTGTTGAGGGCCCCAAAGGGCCCTTGTATACGCAGACATCGGATGGAGAAAGAGAGATCGATTCCAAGTTGGCCCACCCCGGAACATTCAATTCAAATCTGTGAACGCTGAATCGTAGAACCCTAGACCCTAATCCCTAAACCCCAAGACAGCGGCACCTCTCGCAGCGACTGTCGAACTTATAGTTCGCACATGTCTCGTCGGCCCTGCAACGCGCCCTGCACTGAGCCTGGGTGTAAGGGGCTGCAAGCAGCGAGTTGAAACGGGTTGAGGGCTTTGGGGCTTGTAAGGTACAGGGGTTTAGGGGTTTAGGGGTTTAGGGTTTTAGGGGTTTAGGGCTTAGGGTTTAGGGTGGCTTATATTGCGGGGTGTCGGGCTTGGGACAACAAGTGAATCACTCAACAACCTATTGACACTTCGAAGACACCATTGGTCGGCGCAACTCAGGAACACGGTACTGCCCTTGATGTGCTATATTATACTGGCATAAGAGTGGAGTATAGTATGCTATAATATACTATCATACAATACAACATAGTATAGTATCGCCTGGTATAGCATAGTATCGCATAGTATAATAATAGAGCACAGCATAGCATAGTATAGAATAGTATACTGCAGTGTAATATATAGTATAGTATATAATAGTATAGTATAATATAGTAGAGTAGAGTAGAGTGGAGTTGAGTATAGTATGGTGCAGTGTACTGTAGTGTAGTCTCGTAAAGGAAAACTGTATTACGTCATAGTAAAGTATACTTTATATACTAGTGTATGATGTTATGTTACAGTATACTGTCTTATTGCATCACAACGCACTATGCTATATTCTACTTCACTGCATCTCTCAATATATTACATGATACACTACAACATTACATTACGCGATATTATATTATAGCACGAGGTATTGCAATATATAACTTGTCGCACAGTATTTACTACCGGTATGTTATTAACAAGGCATACATACGTATTATAGAAAACATACAACATGTCATATGTTATGTACACTGAGTTTTATCAGATGTAGAGAGAGAGAGAGAAAGAATGTATGCTACACGCTATATTACGTTTATTCTTTATTATATGCCAAAACATGTCGTATTACACACAATACATATTCTGTAATATGTTTTTGATATTATATGTTTTGCAAAGGCAAACATGTATGTGTGTATATTTATATATATATATATATATCATATGTAGCAGATCATTTTCCCTGAGGCTGACTATTTCAGAAATAGTACTTAACTTGGTATTGTCTATATATAAATATATTTTAAAGTAAGTTACATGGTATTACCGTATGCTACATCATAATACTCTGCATTATTCTATATTTCATTGTGTTACATAATAGTACGCTCTATTCCGCTACATTACATAACAATAAGACTATGTTGCGTTGCCAAACAATATGCTACATCTTTTACAAGAGATACATTATTTCACATTGTACTGCAGTACATTGCATCATACTGCATCATACTGCAAACCACTACTTTGCAAAACACCGTATTTTGCTGCATTGCATTACGATACATTGCAGCACAATGTGGTCACGAGAACTTGTTGTTGGCTTTTTTACCACGTAAAGCTGCTATCCAGTGCTGGGAAGAAGATATTTTGAAACTATCCGCGTTTTGTAAAACCTGGCTACGGCAAAGGCCTGTTTCGAAACCAGGGCTTCAAAACATCGAAACCAGGGCTTCAAAACAGAGACTCGGGGGCCTAGCTGGCTTCTCTCTGCCTTTACATATACATAGTATAAAATATGCATGTGTGTGTATATATATATATATATTGCATGTATGTATGTGTAATCAAAGGGGAAGGAAGGTACTTAAACCTGGCCGAACCCCTAAACAACCAGGGCATCTAACAGCAAGCCCTGTTCTCTTTTTCCTTGAGCCA